GGGCGCGTCACTCAACCGGAGAGAACGAGAAGGAACACGACAAAGAGGAAGATAGAATATACATGACAAAGAGGAAGAGAGAATACACATGACAATGAGGAGAAAGTCGTTATGTACATTGCCTAGGATAGGCCGAGTGCTTATATCGGCACAGTAATAATAACGACATTTGCTGCTGGAACTCTTTTATCATCTGTAACACAGAAATTTATTTGCTGCACGAATTATTTTCGAAGAGTACAATATTTTTATTGGCTATTTCAACAATATCTAATGTCTAAATGTTCTTTTCGTTCAAAACAAATCAAATTCTTAATTACATCCGGCTCAGAAGCTAGACTCAATGATTTCACTGATAGAATTCAAGTTTCTTTAATCAGATATTCAGCAGTTTGATAACAGTTGTGAAATTATTTTAATTTAATTGAAGGATCGAGCGCGAACGCTCAACACAGCGTGAAAAATGATCCACTCGAGGAGATCCTATGTGGACCTCTCACTAGCTTCAGCGCGTCCAATGTGCAATGGTAGAGCCTCAACCAGAGACTTCCTTATTTGTGATCAAGGAAGTTCTTGTGTCAGGTAAGTATGCTTTCCAGTAACAGAAGCAGTAAGCTTTATTCTTTGACAAATAGCAAAAGTTGCACAGTAGTTACATTCTTGCAACGATGAGTCACCATTATATCTTGTTTCGACATACTGATTGCGCAGTAAATGAGAGAGACAAAGTCAAGCAAGATTTATGAAATTTCTCATAAACTAGAAGACAGGGATACTTGTCTCACAGAATTGAGCGTTCTTGATCGAATTCTTCTGAAACAAGCTCCTTCCTAACCTGAATATAATACGAAATTATTTTGATGAAGTAGCTTCTCAATAGATGCTATTTTATTTTTCTCTTGAATTAAAAACTAGTACATTCATAAACTACAAATATTTCGTTTCATTTAATTAAATAGAATGCTTCCGAAGAAGCAGCAACGATTTCGGCAATGATTTCATTGCCGAGGGTGGATCTTTATTTGCAAGTAGCTTTTATATGTGATTGATTTGCAAAAGACGATCAGTGAATGAAGGAGTGCAAAATAGTTCTTACATCATACTGCATCATGATTCAGCAACGAGAGTGTGGATGTTGGGTGCACAGATCTCTAATCACGCCAACACGTTTCCATCACCTCTATCCACCCGTATCCCACACCCGAAATCCGGAAACGCTTTTGATTCATTGATTTTCTATACAATCCATACTCACATCCACACCCTCAGTTTACCTGTGTCAACCGTAATCATGTGTCGAACATTTCGGTTTTGTATACTCAACTGTCATCCTTTGAAATAATCAAACAAGATCAACTTTAATTTTCTAGTTAGAATCAGTAATCTATCGTGCTTTTCTTAGGACTAGTGTTTGAAAAACAATGAAATATTTTTCTCTTTTTCTAAACATTGCAATAGATTGAAGAGATAATTTTTTAATTGAACAACTTCAATGATATATGCATGGCTAACTGTCAAACATAATTGAAATACATTTATTGTTTTATTTACACTGAAAAACTATGCATACAAGAATAGATTGATCTTGTTCTAGGGGTATGGGTGTGGGTAAATAGAAAAATAACTACCATAGACACACCCACACATCCTTAATCAGTTGAGAAACTTCGCCTAGCTGATAATATAATCTGATGAAACATTATTCGTCTTCTAAAACTTTCTTTGAAATTAACCAACTAATTTCTTCCTGAAGTTGTGTCATTGTTCCTAGCCAAAGTTCATCCCATAGAACAGTAACACGTCGTATTTCATGTACAAATAATTTAACTTGCCCAAAAACATGTGAATTTGTTTCCGAAAGTACATATAAATTAATCGAAAGCTATTCTGCATAGCGACAGCATTTTCTTGTTTTTCAATATCATCTTCTTCTTTCATTTCTTCTTCGTCATCTTCTGATTCATGTGTACTCGCAAATTTTCTCTGATAAATATTATCATCTCTTGATTCTATTCGTCTCATTTTTGAATCATCCGTTATTCCAACAACAACTGAATAAAGAATTAAGTGTGGAAAATCTTTTGCTATCTGTATCAATAAATTAGTAACATAATCTCTCACAAAACTACCAGAATGATTTAAACGAGAGAATAATTGTGGTATAAGACGTTTCCATGAAATAGCTGGTAAATTAAGAAGATTAGTTTCAAATATAGTACGTAAATGTTGAGGACAACGCACAGTACACGTAACAAACGTAATGTAACAAGAACATTAAAATCATCATCATCATTATTATTTGTTTTTGTTTTCATACGTACTTGTATTACTTAATTGTAAATATGTAAAATAGGCACGACATGATTGCATTGGATGTTTTGTAAGTAATGAACAAGCACGTGATAAATCTGTACGATAGGAATGAAGTGAAGATAATTCAGAAGCAGTTTAAAATAAAATAAAAATTAGAACTAATCTTTTATTTTTCAAAGAATATTACAACCTCAGAATCATTATCATTTTAAATTCAAATTGAAGATAGAAGACGAGATATTTCCGTTACTTCGTCGGATGAAACTTCCTAATAAAAGAAAAAGCGAATCAATGATTACCATTTGAAAAAATGAAATAAAATAAAATGAACAAACCGATGGAAGAATTGAACGAAGTTGTTGTCCAAGATCCAATGAAGATAATCTAATAGAAACAAGAAAATTTTCGAAAAAAATTTTCAATCAAGCAGTTACATACGGACAGATCGAGCAAGTAACTCTCTTCCCCAAAGATAAGCTCAATCAACAAGTCCAAACCATGATTTAGCTGAATTTGGACATGTTAATGTTGAAAAATTTAATAATTCACCAAGAGGAATATTTTTTCGAACGAACGGTTCTGAAACAAAAATATGGCTTAGTTGTTTTCGTTGCAAATGAATCTATTCATATAAACAAACCTCCAGCAATATCAACACCCAATCCTGTAATAAGATATTGTTGTCGTAATTGAAATAATTTGCCGAACTGACATAACATTATTTGTTGTTGCTTCATGATTACTTTCAATTGCAGTACGTGACTATTTAGCGATATCTAATACATTGCCTGGACATTTTTCAATATTAATTACTGAACGTTGATTATTATATTGAGAATTAGGTTGAATTTTATTAATTAAATGAAAGTAATATAGAATGTGAAAGAAATTCAATAGCAATTGTTATATTTATATTATTCGCTTTATTTAATGATAGAGCATGCATTAATTTTTCTGTTTCAGGTTCAAGTTCAATGGTACGAACGAAGCGTAGATGTTAAAGCAGTATTAATAGATTGTGGTGTTGGCGGACCGGTTGACCATTGATGAGTTGATTGAAATTGTTGAATAAGTCGTTTTGATACTAGTGTAAAATTATTTTGTCGACGAGTTGATCGTGCTGCACCCATTGAAAATGCTGTTCAATTAGAATTTATTGTTGCTGATGCACCTATATAGATATGCAAGAACAATAGCTACAAATGGTTTAGCTTCTCATAAAATAGGGCTTGAATGTTATATTAGAGAGCCTTTGCATTCCGTATAGATATGACTGTTTATATATCTATCTTTAAAACATTGGTACATTTTGTAGAAGAATAGAATTCAATGCTCGTACACTATGTTGAACAGGTGCAAATTTTTGATCGGGTAAAAGTGGAACTTTACGATTCTTAAATTAGAAAGAAAAGAATCATCACAAAAATAAAATTCAATTATTTCATTTTAGTCTTACTTCACTTTGATATAAAGCAGCCACTTGACTAATAGCTGCTCGTTCTTCTGACCATGATGCATGTTCATCAACATTATGAATTCGTGTTAAATTTTGCGTTAATTTTATTACTGTATTAGGAGCAGTCATTCAATTCCGCAATGTTGAATATTCCGGAACCAGTTCCGCCCCCGGAATCAGTTCCGTCGATTCCGGAATTAGGTCAAATATGAACACTGTCCGATTCCGGAACTGGCTCATCTGATTCCGGAATTAGTTCCTCCAATTCCGGAACTGCTTCGCCCGATTCCGGAACTGCTTCGTTCGATTCCGGAATTAGTTCGTCCGATTCCCGAATTAGTTCGTCCGATTCCCGGAATTCCACGAAATTCAGTCCAATTCCGGAATTAGGTCAATACGGAATCGGTGGGAATTAGACGGAATTACCCAGGTCAATGATTCCGGAGGACGGATACTGTAGGAACCGGCCGGAAAGATGCGGAAAAATCACCGTATCTGGCCGGAAAGCATGGGAAAGCACTGGAAACTGGAAGCAGTATTCCAGTTGGAAGTTACCGGATTTTTTTCCTGTGGATTCCGGTCAGTTTCCTGTGTTTTCCGGTCAGTTTTCTGTGTTTTACATCTGGAAGTTGATCGGAATCTACAGGAAGAAAATCCGGTAACTTCCAACTGGAATACTGCTTCCAGTTTCCAGCGCTTTCCTGTGCTTTCCGGCCGTTTCCCGCCGTACGTCCACGACCTGGGTACCAGGAATTCCGTGTGATTCCGTTCAATTCCTGTTCGACCTAATTCCCGGAATTCCGTACCGGAATTGCATTCGTCACCGAGCTATAAGATGTATCAAGTGTCCATTGATCACTCAATTCCGGAATCGCTGGGAATTAGACGGAATTCCGTGTAATTCCGTTCAATTCCGATCAATCCCTGTTCGACTTAATTCCCGAAATTCCGTACCGGAATTGCATGGTGTGGGTGTCAGTGTGGGTGTTTCCATAAGTGTGGGTGTTGCGATAAGTGTGGGTGTGGATGTTGGCGTAAGTGCGCTGAATTCCGGAACCGTTGGGAATTAGGCGGAATCCGTTTGAATTCCGTGTAATTCCGGAATTGAATCGGAATTGATAAACGAAATTCCGGGAATTAGATGGAATTGGTCGGCAGTGATTCCGGGAATTCCGGAATTCTGTTGGAAGTGATAAATGGAATTTCGGGAATTAGAGGGAATTGGTTCCGTGAGCGGAACTGGTTCCAGAATGTTCAACATTGCGGAATAGGATGTATTCTCGGCAAGTAATATTCGATTTTAAATCATTCGGCAGAAAAAAACTTATCGACTAGATAATACAAAAATACTTGTATACTGATTCGAAATTCCTTAGTAATGAAAGCAAAACTATAACGCGCTCCTAATAAATATTCTTATTAGAAACAAGCATTGACTTACTATATCTGATGATCATAAATTTAGGATTATAGTTGTATCTTGCAAGCATCGAAATAAAACATTTCGCGTAAAAGCAACAAGAAATGAAACAATATCTACGATTTGTCTTAAATGAAAACAAATTAATCGAAAAAACTATAATTTGTACTGTTCCTGTATTTGGCTCAATAATGCTATCAGATGAAAGAAACGATTTTGATAAAGACTTTAACTTCAACTGAAATATTGATAAATCCTGAATTTCACTGATCATAGTGCCAATGATTCATCGCATGCTTTCCTCTCAACTTAGCTGCTCTTGATATTCTTAAAATAATTTTGATTTGAAAACGAATCTTCGTTCTCAAAACTATCTGAAGTGAACATTAAAGAAAGTGATTCCTACGATAAAGTGATCCTTATCTATCACAGTGTTTGAGAGTTTACTTCATGATATTTATTTAAAAAAAACGATTTTTCATCGAGAGAACAGAAATTCGTTTTCAGACACTTTAGTTATTAGTGTTAAATATGAATCCTTTTTGAAATTTTTTTCATACAATAATTATTTGATTTAAAGGGATAATGACTCATATTAGTTTTACAATTGCTGTTGCAAATTATCAGAGAGTATGATACTAACTATTGGAATAGTTCTTTAACAATTGAACTTGGTGTTGACTGATGCATGGCCAACGATTCGGTTGTTTACTTCATATATTGTAAATAATTAATCAGTTATTTTGTGAATTTTCATCGTCACATCGATTCGTGGTGTTAAAAATGTGCCACGCCTGCCAAACAACTAGATTTTGCGGCGACTTTTTGTCAAAATAATCTTATCGCTCACTTAACACAACTTCTATAAAAGAATCGAATACCATGCCCAAAAACAAAGCTTTTTGAAACTAGAACTTAGCATTATGTACTAGTGTATCTTAACAGGTATAGCTGCATATTTTCAATCAAATTATAGGATTGTAACCTTTCTATTGACAATTTCAGAAATTTGAGATTGAATGTAGAATAATAAATCCACCAAAACTAAAGATAAAATAATCTATGCATAGTTGTAGAATACTGAACGCTTCTAGATGGATTGCAGCACGATGTATTTTGTCATACCAACATCTACTATTTTAGTTTTCATATATTCTCACACGCAGGTATCTATCAACTCATAAGCACAATAGCAGGGTCACTAGATAAATCCACCATGACACATCGAATAATAAACACTTAAGGCGACTCAGAATTTAAGCTTTTTCTAGCTTCCAAAGTAGTGAATCATTGTGTTAAAAATGTAAATTGCACTGCTAAAATGCGTGTAAAATAAACATTGCGATGGAAACATAAAATACTGAAACTTGAAATATTGATCATACAATTTTCTCACTATGATGCATTATTGATGCAATAAATAGTTTTTGGCTCGTAATTCTTGAAGAATTAGCGAAATCTCAATAAACGTTTTAAAAGTCGATGTGCTCTTCTCAAGTATCGAGGGAACTTATTATACAAGTGATTCCTATAGTGTACACCAATCTATCCTCCACCATATAAGAATGAACCCTCACAGGTATTATGATAAACGCTTCTACTGAAAATGGAGAATAAGCAACCATTGATCGTAGAATAATAAACCCTTTTGATGACCTCGTATACTGGTATACCCTCAACGATATTATAATAAACGCTTTCAGAAAGTGAAGAATAATCAACCCTTTTGATGACATCGCCTACTGGTCTGCCATCAAGGGTATTATAGTAAACGCTTTTTCTGAAAATGGAGAATAATCTACCCAGGTCGTTCCTACCCGGCTGTACACCAATCATTTACGTTGAAAAACGGCATTCGTTTACAGTGGCCGTTTACGACAGACATATACGAAGTTTTACGAGGTATTACGTTAATGGTAAACAGTGAACGTAAACGTTCGACTTTTACAACTACTGTGAAAATACAGTGACTGTAAACGACATTCAGAATGTGCGATAACACGGGGAAACAAACTGATTTCAATAGGCGAAATTAATCGAAATCGCATGAAATCGGACGAAATCATCGAAACCAGTAGAAATCATGAATATCATTGGAAATCATCAGAAAACAAAAGGGATTATTTGAAATAGCTAAAAATCATTCCAAATCATTTCAAACGATCTGAAAGGTTTCAAGTAAATTAGCCTGATTTCACATGATTTCTTTGATTTCTTAAACTGTCTGTCGATTCCCACAAAATCCGTATGATTTTTGATCATTTCTAATTATTTCTACTGATTTCTCATGATTTCTACTGAATTTTGAGAACTTTTTGGCGCCATTGAAAATCCTGAGGGTGTGGATGTGGGTGGATCTGGGTAAAACCGCTATTTTCCGTTAATCCTCATTCGGACTCCCACACCCACAACCACGCCCTCAAGATTTTTCTTCACTTTTAGTTATTGAGTTCAGGGATAGATTTAAAATCCGAAAGCTGAAATCAGATTTATCTTCGATATATTTTCGACGAATCTTCGTTTCGCGTCTTTCCCGATTCAAGTTAAGTAGCATGTCCACAATTCAGTTTGTCTTGCGGTTCTCCTCAAATCCCTGGTCATCTTCCAGCTAATTCCTAGTCTCCTAGAAACCACTCGTACTTTAAGTCGAAAGGTAATGTTTTTTTTTTATAAATGTAATGATTCTAAAACCAAGTGGAACCTTTTTGAAATTTTTTTGGAATCTGAATGAAATCCATATCAAATCCAAATGAAATCTCGTTGTAATCTAAACGAAATCTTTTTGAAATCCTTTTGAAATCTATTTCAAATCCCATTTGTATCTTTTTTAAATCTAAATGAAATCCGTTTCAAATCCAAATAAAACTTTTTTAAATCCAAATGAAATCCGTTTCAAATCTAAACGAAATCTTTTTGAAATACAAATAAAATCTGTTTGAAATCTTAATGACATCCATTTCAAATCCCATTTAAATCTTTTTGAAATGTAAATGAAATTCATTTCAAATCTAAATGAAATCTTATTGAAATCGAAATGAAATCTTTTTGAAATGTAAATGAAATCCATTTCAAATCGAAATGAAATCTTTTTGAAATCCAAAATAGAATCGTTTTGAAATCCGAATGAAATCTGTTTGATTTGCAGGTGAAATTATCGAGAATAACGAACGGAAAACGGCCGTTTACTTCGATGTACGGTAGTCGTGGTGGTCGTAAACGGCTGTATATGTTAAGATACGGCGATTCTCGTTGTCGTAAACTGTCGTTTCGTTCAAAATACGACCGTGTCACGGCACTGTTTTTAACGTTTACGGTAGTTGGGTTTCACCGTTTACGTCACGGTGGGTTACAGCCGTAATACGGGGCATACCAAACGGGTTATTTACGGCCCGTATACGGTCGTAACTCTGACGGTTACGGCCGTTTACGGCCACTATAATGCTCGTCCTGGGTACCCTCATTGGTATTCTGATAAACGTTTCTGTCGAGAATGTAGAATAATCAACCATTGATCGTAGAATAATAAACCCTTTTGATGGCCTCGTATATTGGTATACCCTCAACGATATTATAATAAACGCTTTTTCTGAAAGTGGAGAATAATCAACCCCTAGCCGTAGAATAAGATTTGTTTTGCATGAATTGTATAATAATCTACCCCTGATTGTTGTATAATAAACTGATTTTGGAAATGCGTATATTGATATAGACCTATCCGTTTATTAATAAACACTTTCAACAAAATTATGAAACAAAAAACCCTTAAAGCAGTTTCACATACCCTTTTTAAATTCATATACCCTTACGATAACAAACCCTTCGACTCATATACCCTTCATAGGGTATATGACATGCGCATAAACCCTTCAAGGGTTTATAGAAAAAAAATCAATGGCAAGCGTTCATTATTCTGCCCTTTTTTTTTACAGTGTAGACGGACTAGAAAGTCATTGATGGACTCATCGGATTTTTGAATACATTTGTGTCACTCTTGTTCTAGCTGAGCGAGTCGTAACGGTGAACTAAATTGTTCTAGGAAGAGAGTGTGAAAGACGTCCGAGTGGATAGGGGGATTATTACTAGTGATAATTTGTGTGTACCATTCGAGAGCATTGCCTCGTATAAATTGACCAATATTCTGAAAAAGTATTTCCTTATCCCATCCAAAGGAGGAATTCGTATATGGATGGAGTTGTAAAAGAAAGGGGCGTGGTTTTTCGTCGGCTTTGCCGGAGAAAAAGGGGGCGAGAGTGGGTGGTTGAATAATGAAAGGTGTTCGAGGAGGAAGTGTGAGCGATGGTTCGTGTGGAGAAGAAGGAATCAAACAGGGCCGAGAAGAAGCAAAATGGTTGGAAGGTGGTGAGGGAGATGTGATAGGGGTAGAAGCAAGAAGAGCAGTTAGCGTGGCACGAAGTTCAGCGGTTAGCTCGGATATTTGTGTGGAAACAGAGAGATGAGACTCCTTAATCTGGGTATCCAGCTGCTGAATTGCAGTATCCAGGTGTTGAAATTTAAGTTCATGAGCAGTGGAGAGAGTCTGTACTTGATCGGTGAAACGCTGTTCAAGTTCAGTGACTTAAGATTGTAGAGTAGTGAACGTACTCTCGAGATTAGTGGTGCGTGTGATTTCAGTTCGGAATCCATCACTGAGGCTCGTGAGACAATCTTTTAGTTTTTGTCCGTCGGAGTCAGCCATGATCGTAGGAGTAATCAATTATAGTATTAGGAAAAATGGAGATAATTAGTAGAAGAAAATGAGGAAATGTGATGCGGGTATTTACCGTGATGCGAGGAAAATTTGGAGTTGGGTAAAGACGAAAGATTCAAAAAGTTCGATTGATGTGATCGCCACGTGTGACGGAACGACTTGTTCGTTCCTCCTTTTATTCAGAATGAATGCTTTTTCGAGTAACAACGCTGATACGAATAATATAAACAGTGAAGAAGAAGAGAAGAGAGAAGCAAATGTAAACTAATGATTAAATGATAAGAGTGATTAATGGGTACATGCACTCTTGATGGAGTCGTGATGGATGGAATCCGTCACACTATCGAGGTCGGGTCGGTTTTAAATTAAAGCTAGCCTCCATACGCAAGTTTTCATTAGACAGAATTTCGAAATTCCCTTCTGTTCATATTTTTATAAGTATTTTGCTCGGTATGACTGCCAAAGCAGGTATAAAAACGCACTAAATCAGACTTTTCTCAGTCCAGGAATCCAATATCGAAAATCGAAAATCCGTCTGATAAAAAGTCAGCTATAATTGAAACCTTTAAAATAAAAATATATCAGGAAAAGCTAAAGCCAAACGAAAGTTATAGCAATTTTTCTGCTTGAGACCCATGTTTTCAGACCAACATTTAAGAATTTTTAGAAAGGTGTGTGGGAGTAAGGGAGATGAAAGAGTAATGCGAGCATACAAAGCAGCCGATACTAATGATATATGCTAATGAGACAAAAAAAAATAAAATTTTATTCGATACATTTTTCCTGGTTTATTTTATTTTTAGAATGGTTTTGTGGAATTAAGAGAATTCAAAAAAATTGTTCAATTGCTTCAATCGTGTTAGTTTTGATGAATTTAAAAAAGGTTTTGAATTATTAGGCGAAGATACGCCAGCTGAAGAGAGTTTAAAACAAGAATTTGACAAGATCGATTCGAATGATGGTGGTTATATTCTCTTTGATGAAGTAAGAATTAAATATTGATCAATTCATTATTGTTTTTCTATTGATAGTTCTGTATGCATATGACATGTAGAACAGCATGAAAATTCAAAGCCAATACTAATAAGCATTCTTAATTTTTGGTTGTATTCTATCTCAAAAAAATAAATAAACATACAATCTTAGTAAATTAATTAATATAGATGAATAAAATGAAGAATCTTTGGGACGTTTGTTGTCAACCTTCCTTACCAAAGTATAATTTTTAACGATAAAAATATCGCAAGGGGGAATTACACTAAATTTTCAATCAAAAATATTTAATTACTCGAGAATAATAAATCAGATCTTGTCGTGAAAACTGTCTGAAATGATGACGAATTGATTGACCTAAGGAATCAAATCAGAAGTTCAACAATTATATTTATTGCATAAATTATAATTTCCTGTCATTACATAAACTATATATCTTATATTTAAAAATACATTATCATTAGGACTTTTTCTTGCAAATTAAGTCGAATTGGTTAGTTAGCAGAATTATTATAGATACTAGTTTATTACTAGAATCTTCATACTGGAAATATCTTTGTTCCGTTTTCTTTTCACGTAAAATAAATTTATCAGCAGTGACAATGGTATTATATTATAAACATGATTTAAACTCGATTAAATGCTGTTAGGCTGAATTCTGATAATTTATCGTAATAGTAAATTTACAACGAATCAAAAATAAGGAATCCTAATATTTTTATTACGTTAAGTTTTTCAAACTAGAGCAATTAAATATAGGATCAATATAACCTTCAATCGAACATCTAAGTACCAAAATTCCACTTTTTTTCTCGAGTATGCAACAATTTTTCAGTGTTGCTAGAATCAGTATATATATATATGTGTGCGGTAGCTACTCAAATATGTTTTTTTTAAAGCATAATAATCCCATTAGGATCTATTGAGTGTTATTGTCAATCATATTCACTGTTGGGGTTTAGAGTAATTGGCATAATTTGGTTTTGTCGTACAGTTTTTCTGCAATAAAGTCGCCAAACTTTGTTAACAAAAACACATTTTACTTGTCGGCGAAATCTCGTTGACGATATTAAAAATAAATAGAATGAACCCTAAAAAGAACACCGATAAATTTAAAAAATCCATTTATATCTATAAACGTATAACTGTAACATACTGCATAATTAAGATAAAATAATGAAAAAGTAATTGCTCCAATAAGTTGTATAATGGCTCGTTCAAGTAGGTTGTCATCTGCGAGCGTACTAAATGTATAAGATCGTTCCACAGCATACGGTAATATTGTAGTGACTAGAAAAAGAACTCGAAGAATAATCATTGCTGTTAATTGTTGGTCTAATTTTCGTCGACGCATTGCCTGTTGACGTCGCACAAGATGACGAACATTTCGATAAGCTAATACACCGAAAAATGTCGAAACAATGATCGGTAAAACACCAGAAAGAATAAGATAATAAAAATATGAAATATAAATTAGAAAATTTTGATTATGTACACTGCATCCGAAGATTGAATGAATTTCAAAATAGATTAGAAATGGTATACCATGTAGGGTCCAAGCAATAATTGCAATCGTAGTTAGAACTTTTGCTGATTTGATCGTACTGATTTGTCTTAGAAATGGATAATAACTTGTTGATAAATATTGATCAATGGCAGCCAAACAAACAATATTAAGTGAAATGAGAGTAAAAAATTGCAGGAAAAATTGACTTAATTTGCACCAAGCCAATGATGTTTGCGTTAGATCATCAGAAAAGCCATTGATTGCAATAAGCAATGTAAATGAAACAATCATTTGAAGTAAATCAACAATCGACTCTAAGATTATATACAAAACAGAAGGATTTCCGCGGAAACTTTTCAGACGAGTGAATACAAATATATTAGCAAGATGTCCAAAAACGCCACCAAATAAAATAATAAAACTGACACAAACTGAATATAGACGAGAAGCATTAAGAATTAATTGTGCTGTTGACGGCGAAGACATAATGTATGCAATACTGACTTTCGTTTTGAAAAGACTAGATGAATAATATCTTTTTACTTTTTCCGCAATACGAATATCCTATAGGAGAAAGATGTAATATCTGTAAGAAATGCAAATTTGAAAAAAAAATTTTTTTGAACTTGGTCTCCTTTTGTGAAAGGATTAGAAAAAAATCTGCATAAATAGATAATTATCATGAGAAAGTCTTTTTTATCGCCATCGGATTAACTTTTACTGAATATTGGAAAAGCTCCGCATTATAAAACATACGAAAGTTTAACGAGTATTTATGACAGATATAATCTTTTTGGATAGTGTTAAAAGCTTAATAAAAGATTATTATTATTGCGAGTGTTATGGATGAAGCATAGATCTCAGTATTATAGTTAATCATTTGCGAGGTCAAACTCGCTTTCTTACCTGACATTCAATGAAATTTCTTCAGCTAGCACATTGAAGAGAAGCAAAAATGGAATGTTTTTCATTTCTCTATTACTATGGTCAATACATGCCTTTTTCTAGATTGATATTTTTAAAAATAGTCAAATTAAAACTAGTGATGTCATTAAAATCTTGAATCAACCTTGGTTTTCTAAAGTCACGTTCTTTCCATTTCCAGATGCATTTGCCCCTCTTATTTAAGCAGTAATAATGTCCACGTTCTAGATTTATCCTTATTGTTACTATTTTCATGGAGTTCTGTGAATAAAAATAGAGATTTAACACAAACATAAAATATTTCTTCGCTATTACTAAATGCGATTCAATGTAATTTGTTTTTCGTATATATCTTAAATAAACGCAAATAACACTACCATTTCAAATGACGTTAAGGGCATTTGTAATAATAATTTTTTATTATTAAAAACAGTAACATAACATCTTGGGAATTCTAAAAGGAAAATTCCTATCCTCGATTATTATAATGACATCGATGGGAATCTCACTATGACTGATAAAGACGCTGTTGGTTGTAAGCTGAGTTATAATTAATTAAATCATGTAGTCACATCCTCATGCCAAGTTTCTATACTTGCAACACAAAAAGATTCTTGTTAGTTCGATAGAGTTCTATTGTATAAAAATGATGCTACTGAACAACTCTTCTCCAGTGCATTAGGTTTTTAATTGCTCGTTAATAAAATTATGCATCATGGATTATCTTGATTTCATACGGATCTCTGTTTTTAACATGTATTTTGGCACAAACGCAAACGAGATATTATTCAAAATAAGGCCTGTGATTGCATGCTAACAGTTTCTATTGCGCATCGTGATTTTGATAGCCGACATGTGTATGAAGTGGTGATGGGTTTAAATTTCTACCTGTGTATTTCAATACTTTCTTTTATTCACAATCGTAAATTTTCAGAAACTTCATAAATGTAAAGTGATATACTTCTAATAGACGAGTCAGTTAGATATTTAGTTTCTGAATCTCTCTATCCATAGCTCTTTAATCTCAAGCACTCTTTAAGAAATGCTAAACTACTTATGCTAATAGACAATTAATTTAAAACGTATTCATTTCGAGTAAAAACTGGCAGAAAAAAGGTCACTAAAACGTCTATTTTACGACCAAAATCTAGCACTTGACGTTAACGCGAGGCACTCTTGGAATATGAGACTTTTGTACAGACAGATATTTCATCAATTTAAAATAGAACTTAAATCAAAGAAAAACGGGAAATCGAAACATAACTGAAGTAGATGAAACGTATAGGAGTAGAGAATGATGTTGAGTCTTCAAAATTAATATTGAATAATGCCAATACGACTTTAAATGAGAATAAAAATATGAAAATTTTAAATCAACAGCTTATTTTTTCAATTATAATATATTTATTTATCAATTGATAATCGTAGCTTTGCTGATTACATATAAAATACGGGGGCGGGGGGGGGCAATTTGTCAATAAAAGACTATATTTAAATCAAGTTTGTTGGCTAGCTTTAAAAAGTTGTATATCCATGCATTTGAATCAATTTTGTCAAATTGAAAGCCAATTCAAGAGTGGCAATCTATAAATGATATATACATAGACATACATATGAATGATACATATGTGCATTAAAATATCTTACCACAATAGTAACAAAAGTTCCAAATAACAATCCGAATAATACAAAGAATCCGAACATCTTACTCATTATGTTGTGATCTAAAACAAGCGATACAAGCAGAAATATGATCCAGCTAAAAAAGAGACATGCTGCCATAAATAGAATTATTCCAATCGATGCAAACTAAAGTTTCAAGGGAAAACATAACATAGATTATCTAACAAGCCGAATATAACATACGAGTAGAATTCCAACTCGGTGAAATCTATAGATAGAAACGAGTCCAAATGTATAATAAAGTATTAGAAAGCATGTCGGTATTAATGCTTGGATTTTGTGTGCAGTATCATCTTTATCTTTGGTTATTACATGATGAATATGCAGAGCAAGAGTAACAATACACACGATCTACGTAAAAAACATTGCCGTATAATTTTAGAATAAAATTTATTTCGCACTAACCCATTGAATAGTTACAAGTAGAAAAACATATCTGCGAGTTCGGAGCAATTTTATCGGTGATGCTGGTTCAAATTCTTCGACATCGTCTGTTAGTAATAACGATTCTACCGAAGACGACATTCTTGTATGACAATAGAAAAAAATTGATTTTACGAAACCAATGTTACCCCTAGTATGTTATATGGACATTTAACAAATAAATGGTGTTTCATTTTTGTAATCTAACTTTATTGTTAATGCACGCCACAGCTGTAACTACTATCATACTATTCAATTCAATCGAGTGACATAAAGACAAAAATAAAGTTATTTCTATAGCATTGCACGTTCTATTGAGAATTATTTAGTTCGTGCTTATCGCACGACTGAAAGCAAGAGAATTAAGCGTTTCCATTCATGCGCTGGCACCACCATCGTATGTTTCAAGAGATTTAGCCTTGAAATATTGTGTTTTTGTGAAATGATTAAGGGTTGCTTACTTTTTCCGATAGAAGAATTCAATTCAGAGAATCAATCGTATCGTGCACGTTTATTTATTTTTTTAACCAATCATACTCCCGAACCAACTAATCATGTACATCGGAAGATGCAGATCGTATACAAAAATTAAACAATGATCGTTTACAAAGTCAATTCATCTTCTATCGCAATTTTTCAAGAAAAAACAACAACAACACCGAACCAAGCGAACTAGGAACTAAAAACAACGCAATAAAATTTAGTGCCTATATAAAAAAAAAATGGTGTGCACTTGAAGTTTATGTTGACTATTTGACATGTTTACCAAAATTCTGGATGATAACGAAGAGCATCGATCAAAGCTTTTGGTTCAAGACGTCGCTCACAAATTTCATGTACAGCCATAAATAATGGAAATCTAGTTTTTGTTTTTTAACACAATAGCAAAAATATTCATGTGATTCTATTTGAATATTTCAAATCTTACATGTTTGCTTTTCCTTTTTGTTTGAGCCATTCTTGAACTTCAGCTGCTGCATCAGGTCCTTGTAATTTTTGTCCATTGAGCATTTCTTCTTCGAGCGTTTTTATATTTTTTCCTGTTTTAACGAATGCTGCAGCTACTTTACGATTACGACCACCATAACATGTTGTGACAAGATCAGCAACACCACACGATTCCAAAAATATATGTGGATGATGTCCTTGCAATAGAATTTATGCATCGATTACTTTTTTTCTTCTATATAAAACATATCTAAATTAAACCTACCGGGAAAAAATTCTTCACAAAATTTAACCATTTCTTTTAATCCAAGACGAATAACAGCAGCTTTTGTATTGTCACCATATCCTAATCCATCGGAGAATCCTGCAGCTACTGCAACAATATTTTTAAGAGCGCCAAGAACTTCAATAACTTCTGCGTCGGGCTTAATCACAATACGAAATTCATCTGTTTGCAGTAAACCTTTGACTATTTGTCCATGTTCATAATTTCGTGAGCCAACTGTTGCTTCACAAAATGTCCCAGCAGCAACTTCATTAGCAATATTAGCTCCCATCAATACATAGCAAGGAACTTCAAGTAAACTACTAACGACAGTCGAAAGAAGATCAACGCGTTTGTCTTGACTCACATAAAAACCCTAATAAATAAATCGATAGAAAAAAAACAGTCGAGTCTGTTGAATTAAAAAAAAGTTTAATTTACCTTTGAGAAAGATACAATAAAAGCCGTTTTCTTTACATGTGATTTAATTGCATTACATATTATTTCAACGAATTGATGCGGCAAAACGAACAGTAATATATCAGCATCTTTTACAGTTTCGACAGCGTCTGCATAAGCTACCTGAATAAAAAACAAGTTAAATTTTATTATGAATCAAAGCGTGTGAAAAAAATGATTATTTAACTCTTTTAACATTTTGCACAGATTTCTTAGTATTTTCTATTGTTCAAACTCAATGATGCTTATTATAAAAAAAAGGGTCAAATGTGATTATTTTTTCTTTGACGTGTTCATCTTACAACATTATGTGAAAATTTATGGCCAGGTAAATATTTGATATTTTCATGTTCTTGATTAATAATTTCTGTAAGTTTTCGACCATCTACTAATTCTTCATAGACATACATGCGAATTTCATTTTCAAATGTATTAAATTTAAGTATATTAGTTCCGACTATTTTAGCTATTGTTGAACCCCTTAATTTTTAAAAATATGAATTAATAAGGTCGTAGTGAAAATTTTCTTCAGATTCATACCAGTTACCACTGCCAACAATGGCAACACGTTTAAGTAGATCACTCATCTAAAATAAAACATGAAATAGAATCCGATATTTTATTTTCAGTAAGTAAACTAAACATTTTGATGGGAAGAAAATTCGGCCAATTGTAAATAATTAATTAAGAAAAGCAAAAAGCAAAAATATAGATATAAATACGCGCTTCGAAATCAATGAATCATATTAAACCGAAAAATCGAATCGACACTTGATCTAGTAAAGTTATCATCGAAATACACAATAGAAGAAATATCGAGTACAATTAAGAAATGTTCTTTGTAAAGAAGCTTAACTTTTCATGGACAGATGGTGCTGCGTAGCAGTACCAATGTTTATATACTCTTGAGAAAAGAAAAAGAAGAAATATATCACATCACATCACAAGCTTACTTACTCTTTTAATCAAATGGCTTCATCGAATGAATGAATTGTTTTTCTTATGATTAAATGTGTTTTTTTTTCAAATTATTATTAGAAGTTCTATATTTGAAGAGAAAACTAGCAAGTTTCTCTTGCTCAAATAAATGAAATATTAATATCAAGAAAAAGAAAAATAATATGGAATTTATTGAAAACTATACCTCGGTTAGACACTCATGAAGTCAAAGTCAACTAGACAAATCGATCCTATTCAAAATGACATTCAATATATAAAAGAATTTACTAACCAACGAGAACAATATGCATGCTACTATTATAATAGAATTAATGAGAAAATATACCATGGGATCAGACAGAGTCGAGCAACATTATTTTGACCACGGTCGTTTCATCCTGACGATAAAGCTCACATGTACAATCAGCTTGGCTACATAATGACACGCAAAGTCGATTATTTTGTTGCACCGTTGCATCCTCTAATGAAAGAAGTTGTCCTCTTTTTTATTTTGGTTTAGTGGAGAATAAATATTAGTTTGAATCATTATAGATCTCGCTATTGACTCACAATATTGGCTACTACGTAGGAATGTTTCACTTAGCTTTGCACTGATATTTTAATCGAGCAAAAGTACTACACTGAATAGCAACAAGTGAAGAACATGGGTTTCATGCGATTCAGGAAAATGAGATCAGTGGTAGCATTGAGCAGACAACGTAGCTGGAGTCACAGTTGTTTTAGAGTCTAGAGAAGATATGCGCCCATCATTCTGATATATGATGTTTTCCTCAAAATAATGGACGAATCGAGCGATTCAATGATGCCAGTACTGTATTTTTGAACTTATAAATGAACATTTAACATTGATTCCATTTGTTCAATTAGGATGCTCCGCGTAATGATGCTGCTTGTGTGATGAGTATCATTTTTTTTCGCTATTGTTATTATTATTTTGATAAATATAGTATATTTTTTGACGTCTCGACAGGCAACCAATTTTGCATTCATCTAATAGTGAATTATTTCTATGACTACATTGCAATGCCTTGATAACACGAAGCAAATCTCTCAATTACAAAGATTGGAGTGTGAGTGTGGGTGTAGATGTGATCATGAATACGGAACTTCTCTTCGATAACACCCACGCTCATCTTGAGGGTGGGGGTGTGGGTGTATGAAAGCAATCATTACTCACACTCGCACCCACACCCACATCATCAAGTTGTTAAGGACAGACGGATAATCCATACCTCTCGTATTATTTAGCGGTGTTCACTACTACACTGGACAATTTTTCGATACTGAAACGATTACTTGTGTTTCACATGAACAAGTATGAAAACGAAAATGATGGTAGATTATCTTTAGTTTCTATTTTTCAGGGATGTTACATAGAATGGGACTTGTCACATGCAGTTGGTAACGTTCTGTTGAGGCTTCATGATTGGAATGTCTACTTTGCTGTATGGTGTTCTTACAAAGCATTTTAGATTTAACAGAGAAAGTTTAAAAGATCATACGAAATTTCAGTATTTAAATGCAGGAACTGGTGGAATCGGTGGTGCTTTTGTACATACAAACCATTTTAATACTAATTTGATGATTCTTGACGGTTGGTGGGGTAATTCTAGTGCTGCACGCTTCGCGATGTTCGATAGTACGTAAGGTAGCGTTTAATCATTATTATAAGCTTAAGTGTATGTTTTCAAGATTTTGACAGAGCTTCTGGAGCAAATGGCTTTCGAATAAGTAATCCATCAATACACCAATGTGCTACCTTACTACCAAGCCTAAAGGTTCTATTTACGAGCATCAAACAGGCTTGTCTGAGTAGATTTTTATTGAAGATCTTTGTGGACGTGAGTATAGCGCAGATTCGAGCAAAATCAATCCTACTTACCGAATATCTTGAAAACCTTATCAACAGAAAAGCGAATAGTAGGATTATTTTTCTATACAACAAAATTTTACTTTCTTTGACTATGTGAATAGAGCAAGCAAGTGTTATTTTGAACAACTGACACCAACGAATCCTGAAGAACGTGATGTCCAAGTGACTTTCCGTTCACATGGCTTGCAAGCCCAAGTGTTGCATGATGAATTGGAAAAATCTGGTGTTGTGGTAAAAAATTCATGGAATTTCTGTGCAATCGAAGAAGAGTTTCTATTTAGGTGGACGTACGCAATGATATCATCCGAATACTTCCTGCACCTCTCTATAGCAGCTTCTTGGATGTCTTCCGTTTGGTCACTTTATTGAAAGATGCTGTCGAGACATTGACGACCGAATGGAATCTATTAATTTTCTAAAATAATATTGAAAAAGAAGTAACGGAATGATAGAAGAAAAGTTATTTGCACTCTACAGTACACGGTAAGCTAGAAAATAAGTTATAGAGTAAACCCCCTCCCATATTAGACGACCTCTTTGGGCAAATGGTTTAAAAGGCGTACTACAAGACCCCATAATAGAAGACCTGTCTAGCAAAATATTTAAAAAGGTACTAGAACATTTGGATCTTCTTCTTTGATGAAAACTTCTTTTCTTTCATTCTATTTGTGTTAAATTAAATTTTCTATGACGGGTTTTTTCATACACACTATTTCAGGAAGATATTCCTTTAACTCAGGATAAAAGGAAATACAGCAAAGCACATCGCTTGCATTATGATAGAACAGAAAAAAAGACAAACAATAATTCTTTCTTCCTTGCGACTGAACGAAAATACGATCATATAAACAATGTAGATTTAGCTGAAATGGATGAAATTAACATGTCAATAGATGTTTACGATAAAGATGATCGTATTGATATTGTTGCTGAAGAACCAGCTTCGGAACAACAAAAACAACATTCTCAACTTACATTAACTAAATTAACAATATGTGGAGAGAAAAAAAAGTTTTTTTAAATGTTTTATCCCTAATCCATTCTCCCCTGACGTCTCCCCGGGAACCCCCAGAGAGTCCCGCAAAACAAAAAAACCTCTAGGGACTCCCTAGAGATTCTTTTAGGGAGAGTTGACTAGGGATACTTTTATTTATTTTGTTATTGTTTTATAAATTTCAGCTAATAATATGATGAACATTGAAACTTTTTGTTTTTACTCATCGTCCGGAACAAATGGCAGTTTACAAGGCCCCCTTAATAAAAGACCCTCTTATACATTTAATATGCAAGGACACTCTATAAGACCCGGAGTCTTCTAATATGAAAGGGAGTTTATATTTGTTGCATGTCAATTGACATGAGGGTGTGGGTGTAGGTGTAGGTGTAGAAGGATCTTGTTCTACACCCACACCCACAAACTTCACTGGATATTCGCCAATTGGCGAAAGTTCATTGGCCGCTCGCCAATGGCGAAAATCCATTTTGCAAAAGTCCTATTGACGAAGTTCCAGTAGCCCATCATTACGTTGATACTAAAAAGAGAAGTTATTTTAGTTTATTCTTCCAGCAAATCTTTTAAATTTAAACCTTAATTGAACAACGTTCAGGTTGAATTTCTTCTGGCAATCGTGCAACTAATATTGCGTATGATTTTTTTTGAATATCTATCGTAAATGTAAAGGACCGAAGTTTTATGTTTAGAGATATTTCTTCTAGCATAACAACTTTCTTCTATGGTACACACGGATAATATCTATTATGTGTTCAAATTCATCTATCCTGTTCGACGTATGTCTCTATTTCTCTTTGTCGTGTTCTCTCTCGTTGTTTCCAGTTGATTGCCTCGCCCGGATGAGGAGAATGTTACTATAAAAGAAGAAGGATTATTGAAATGAAACAGTTTGATATCGCGATAAAAAACCATCATATCGGTACAAATAATTATGTTGTTGTTTCTTTTTTATTTATAATCCTTCATCTACAATTTAACCACTAATAGAAACATGAATAATATCATTTTACTAACAACAGTATTTTTTGGATGTAAGTATGGCTGTAGGTTTTAGTTTTCTCTTATTCTCCAATCACGCCCTACTCTCCCACGCGACATCTCACGATCTGTAATGTGATGAATTAGAAGTATTTCTGCGCGATGTAAAGTGGTGCCTGATTTATTTCGTATTATCTTTCTTGTTTTTTTCTCTTTTCCGTTCTGTTCTTTCGTCATGAAATGCACCGCAAAATAAAGAGAAAAGGCAGTTGATTTTTTTTCTCTTAATTTCAGTCTGCTCATCGAAACGTAGAGCATTGACAACCGCTTCAAATTACCTGCTGCCTATCCCAGGTAAAACGCATATGCAAAACACGAAACAAAAATATTATTGTATTTTTTCACTTGTTTCTCACATCGACAAAAAGCATATTTTTTTTCATGCAGAGACAAATCATTCGCTGTTACGCAAGGAAATCAGTCACGTTTCGAATTTTAGTTTCTTATTTCATCAACAGTCGAGTGTCATTCAAGCCAGACAGTCAGAACTCATTTTAACTACATACATATCCGTAGCTCACAACTCGCGATTGTCAGTCTCCTGCAGTGACATTCAATAGTATGTTTTTATGAAAAGTATCGTTCTTTTCTTCAAGTCTTTCTGTGTGATCAATACATCGAATAATGTGTATTACTATGACGAAAAATATCGTTTTTTCTCATCTTCTTCTAGATGACATCACCCACTTGCAATTGCAATATAAAAGTATTCAAGACAAAACTCTCTCTCTCAACTAATCTATAAATAGTAGTGATTCATTTTGCCTCATTTATCATTCGATCGGTCTTTTACAGCTCTCTAAAATAGTGCAGTTGCACTTAGGCTAATCCGAAGCGGAAAGTTTTAGTTGAATGCACAATCTTTACAGGAACTTGATGTCATTGATACTTTTATATTGTATTTGGAAGTAGATGGTCTTATATGAGAGAAAATATGAAAGATCAAAACTTCGTCATACTTCTGTATTTTTTGATACAAAAAGCAAAGAGCTTTTCTTTGATGCCATAATCAAAATTCAAGAATTCAAGAAAGGAAAAATATTTGTCACCTAAGCACAGCCTTGAATGATAGTGCAGGTGATCAATGCTATTTAGTTTTGAGTCTATGGCATGTAGCCGAAGCTAATGTCAACGATTTCATTTGAACGGTATAATCAACTGCTCATATTCGTGACAAATATTATTGCGGGACGATCCAACAACTTCATCAGTCTCACATCATCGAAACAAAATTTATTTATTTGTGTACATATATTGAATTTCATGTCGTTGTGCAATTCCGATAACGAACGTAGCAAATAGAACAGTTGTATCTAGTGCTAATTTTATTGTGGTATCTTTCGAAATTAGCACTGAGCCCATATCAACTTCTTTAGCTATCGAATTTGAGACATTTCAGAATCATTTTTGATTGTTTTTCTACCATTTCAGACACGATGCATATTGTTGTTCACATCATTTTCACTGTGCTAGTTTTTGGGGTGGTTCTTCATGGACAAGGTGCAGGTGGCGGAGATCGTGGTCATCATGGAAGTAGCGGTAGTGGAAGAGATCGTGGTCATCATGGAAGTAGCGGTAGTGGAAGAGATCGTGACCATCATGGAAGTAGTGGAGGAGGAAGTCATGGTGGAAGTTTTGACCATGGAAGTCATGGTGGAAGTTTTGGCCATGGAAGTCATGATGGAAAGTTCGGTGGTGGTAATAGGCATGGCTATTCGGATTATCCCAATGAAAGTAAGATTTGTATTCATTCTTCTTTATAGTCGAATTCTGAGATTCCAGGATAGCTAGGAGTAGCGGTGTAACCAGAAATTTAAGAGCGATGGAACTCAGCCCCCAGACCAGAGCTCCGAATGAGATGGGACAAATTTTCTTCTTCCATCCCATCCCATGGTACTTTTATAGAATATTAATTCTATTGCTTAACAAATATGTTGCAAAATTTTCGTATTGATAAAAAACTTTCTTTTATTTCTCACTTTTCAAATACAATCCATTTCAAAAATAATACAAGAAAATTAACTTAATTTTCTTATAGATCCGACAATATTAAAAGAAAGAAATTAACAAAACAACAATGTTTTATAATTATATTACATCTTAGAAGAAAATCGACTTTGTTTTTACTTCACTTCTTGCCTTTGTGATTTCATACATATTGATTCATTTTTTATTGCTACATTCAAAAACATTCCCAGTCGCAACTCAGGTTACTCACGCTCGCCAATGAACTGTTCTGAAGCTACATGATTACATATTGAGTCTGAACGCAGAAAATAAATCAAATCTTCTTTGAGATCCGTGAGATTCTTACCATGAAGGACGCATCAAGATGATCCGGAAGTGGATTGCTTGATCTAGGCACAACTTCCGATAGAAAATAAAAGCGAAAAATGTGATTAATTCTCGTAAGTGTATACGAACGACATATTTTAAACAAAATATTACAAGCGAAAAATCCATTGCTTACCCCATCGGATGAGATGGGATTGTCCCAGACCATGCCTCACCACTTTCAGGCACTCACCAATTTGTGTTTGCACACTGATAGTCGTGTGATGAGTGACCAGTTTAATTGAGGTATATGATCGAAATATAATAAAGATAAGAAAAAAAGACTTATCTATTTCAATATAATCCGACTAGTTATATGGATCACGATACTTTTATGTCATTTATTAAGTAGTATGATGCCTCACTGATTGAAAAATACTTTTTTAAGTATTTAAGTGTTCTAGCCCATTAGATAACTATTGATACTCATATATTTGTTTCAGATGGTTACAATAATAGAGATCGGCAACGACCAAAACCAACTGGTGGCCACCATTCATCATTGGCCAATGTGTTTTACGTCATAATTTTTGTATTTATTGCCATTATCGCGTCCTGTTGCATTTGCGGTTGTTGTATATTGTACATATGCAAATCCAAATCTACATCGAATACGACGTTTGCCAGTGTACCCAATAAAGAACCCACTTCTGAACAGCCCCCAACGGCATTTACCAGCATACCTATTGAGAAAACAGCAGTGAACAATGAGAACATATTTCAGTCAGGAGTTTGGTCAGGTCGATATTTTCAATACGAAGCATGGCATGATCCACAGCAGTTATGGTTGTCATTCGATTCGAATTCATTTACAATCAATGGACACGGATCTGATGATGTCGGTAGGTATACTGTTACTGGCAAGTACTCAACGACAACTAATGAAATTGAGCTCATAAAAGCATACCAACAAGGCACAGGCGATGAGGAAGAAAATTTAGGGCATTCTGTTACTATTGAAGTTACGTGGGATTCCAATAAACAGCTATTTTCTGGTAACTGGTATGTAGATACGAATTCCTATCGCGATGAAAACATATTTGAACTCAAGTTCGAAAAATCACTGTGATCACTGACAAGCAACAAAAACACAAGATTCCTTCGCATATCATGGTTCCGAATTATCTATTGAAAGACAACGAATTTATAATAAGCAGCATGTAACGTTCATTTTATTTTAGAACGTACTACGTTGGAGTGATCTTCGAGAGCGTACGGTAGCTTTGAATTTGCGTTGATAATTTTCCCAATACTAATCTTTCTGTTTTTATCACAAATGCATTTCTTATATTAATATGAAGATTTTTATATGATTCAAAAATGGTTCTGGGGTGTGCGTATACGGAGAGACTAAGATTTTTACGGATGCCCACGCCCACATCCTCAAGATAGGTAAGCAGTTGTTAAGAACTGTTGTGAAGTTTGTGGAATTCTTTCCTCGTATGTATTATCGAGATTTTGAAGAATTTATTCTTAATTGAAAAACTTCTGACAGAAGTAACATTTCATTTCTATGTGTGTATGCTAAAATGAACATATTCAAAAAAAACTCAAAGTCAATCCAAAGATGAATATGTTCAATTTTATGTAATATTCTTTATTCTTTTCGTATTTGAGGAAAAACTTTTTGTAACTTATTAATGATTATCGATTTGAAACTAGTCGCATTATATATACATCTAAATAAACTATGAATACCCTGAAAAAAAGATTCGATTCTATCTTATTTTCAGAAAGATATTGCATTTTCCCGATAGCGTTTCAAGTCAACATTATTATTCTTTTCATTAAAATTTGTTTTTAGATCTTTCATTTGATGGTGTGTATGTGTATTAGAATGTGTTTTAATGAGATTGAATTATTCTGTGCTTCAGATACTTCGATTAAAAGAGAAAATAAAAGACGTCTAAAAATGACACAAGAAAGGGAAAACGAAAGAAGGTGAACGCGAGTGTGCGTACGTGTAATAGTCGCATGATTCTTTACTAGCGGCGAACATAGAATATTCAAATTTCTGTGACAGTGTTTCAACACAACTACATCAACTTTTCTCCTTTAGATTTAAAAATGCAACAAGCTAATGAAATTAATTTAGACTATATAAATCAAAATTATCATTTTTTATATTCTGACAATTCTTATTTTAGATCAGGACATTAGAGAAAGAAGACAAACTGATTGTGAAGTTTATCGGTTTGAATAGAAATAAACAGGAAAAGATGGCGACATAAAAACTGTAATTCAGACTCAAAATAACCCATGTTAAACAGGTACGGCCGTAAACGACTGTATACGGATAAACACGCCGATATACGACCTTAATATTGGACCATGCTAACCGTTAAAATACAACTGCTTACGGTCGTATATAGAGCATATACGAAGTCTATACTCGTCGAACTGGGAGGACTCAAAGAGTCAATAAACTTATTAAAATTTTGCTTTTTGATGAATAACAAATGAATATTTTATTAAAAAATATTTTTTTATCTTTATCGATGGCATAAAAATATTCTTAGGCTGTCATTTTTGACATATAAACATAGAAGTAAAAAAATGTTTGTGAAAATTTTTGGTGAGAGCATGAGCTTGAAAAAAAAGATCAAGCACATCCACACACCTCACGCCACAAAGCGAATAGGATCGTTCGATTTTTAATTTTCCTCGCATTATTTAGTTATGCCCGAAGCGGGCGTGTATTTATCGTAAAAAAGCATGTTAATTAAATTCATTTCTGTTTATTTTACCCTCTCCCATAAATACTGTAGCTTTAAAAAAACGGAATGGAGAAAAAATTGTCTTCCTATTTTTTCTCCGTTTTGTTATTCCCCTGTATTGCTCATGGCTTTCTAAGACAGTCTGAAATGGTTATTTTTTAAAATTTCCTCCGGTTTACCAGTTATTTATTCTGATAGTGATCGTACATTTTATGAAGAAAATCAAGTAACTTAGTATCATATCATCTTTTTGTAGTAACCAGAGTTTATGAAAAGTTTTTCAGTATGCAATTTTCTCGGTTTTTCAGAGACAGTATGAGTGTCGGCACTTTTAAAAAGTGCTACACTTTCAATGGCATTCACAAAATCATGTTATCGGGCGAGTGATTTGAAAGAAACAGTCCCTAATGAGTTAACTATGTTCACTCCATACTCACTATCAGCAAGGTTCAAACAACTTGAGGAAGAAAGATTATGAACTTCTTAATCTTGTTTCTCGCAGTAATAACACGTTGAATACGAAGACTATTCAGAACGACTGAGTGTTTACAGAATTCAGTCATGACGATCGAGAGAAGAATTTAGAAAATGAACAGTCTATTTTCGTATAAATCGGTATTTTTTCTGTCTCATTTACCATACTGTTTTGATGATAATTACTGTGAAAATCAATTTCTCTATCTAATAGATGTCCTGTTCGTCAAAATATGAAACTTATACGGCATCATCGCTATTTACTTCTTTGGAAGCACGATTCGATGACTTTGATAGAGAACGACAGCTATTAGGATATCCTCGTATTATCCAAAACTTCCTTTCGATCTGGGCAGATTCAGATAGTGACGAAGTAAACGATAATTATTGTAAAATGATAAATCGATTCAGAGATGCTGTTAACACTATCAGTATATTCAATGACGCTGATCAATGCTTCAATTTCCTGACAAAATCAAAGAAGAAAAAGTGTTCATGATTGTATACGATGCTCTTGCTCAACATCTAGTACCTCTCATTCATAATTTGCCTCAATTGCATTCAATTTATATTTTCTCTCGAGATCAGTTAATAGATGAATTATGTGCAAAGGAATGAATGAAAGTTCAAGGTATTTTTACAGAAATCTCTTCGATTTGTGTATCACTTCGGCAAGCCACCAAACAATGTGATCGCAACTCGATCTCGATTAGTTTTGTACCGGCGAGTTATGACGACCAATCGATTAAAAATTTCCTCACCAATTGTCGGGATGGTAACTATAGCACATTAAATAATATTAATAAATTAGAATTCCAATATCACGATCAAATATCTATCTGGTGGTATACTTCCGGAACCTTTCTATATTCTATGCTCAATCGAGCATTGCGCACGGTGGAAATCGATACCATTATTAAAACGGGCATCTTCGTTCATGATCTTCATCACCACATCGAACAGCTGCACCAGGAGCAGTTTAGTGGTCAGGAGAAACCACAGTTTACTGATTATCGTAGTCAATGCTTGCCTAAGGTTGACTTTGAGAAATTACTCAAAAGCAGAGATGGACTTATGTCGTTTAACAATTTCTTGTCAACAAACCGTGATCCAGACATGGGTGTTTTCTACGCTACCACTAATATAACTAATTATAATGTCATAACCATTCTCTTGGAGAAAACTGTTGATCCACCAAATCCATCGATGCCATTTGCCAGTGTTGGTCACGTAAGCATATTTGGTTCAGAAAATGAAATACTCTTCTCAATGCATAACGTTTTTCGCATTGAAAATATCGAACCAGTAGACATTGAGAACAATCGAATGTGGAAAGTAGAACTAAAACTCACGAGTGATGCAGATCAGCAACTAAGCGCTCTCGCTAAACTGGTGCGAGAAGAAGCACATCCAGGTTCATCAAGTTGGCATCGAATGGGTGAATTACTACTTTTACTCGTCTAGTCAGACAGAGCAGAACATGTTTGTGGATCGTTTTTGATCAGATACTTCAAGATCGTGACAAAGCGATACTCTATAGTATGTTATGAATGATCAAATGTGAACAAAGTAACTATGCCGAGGCACTTTAATTGTAGGAAAAAGCACTTGAAATTCTCCGAAATAAATTTCATTCCGATCATTCTAATTTGGCTTATATTTATAACAACATGAAACAGTGCCTAAAGCAGTTTCGTTTTTCGAACGTGCAGTAGAAGTTGGACAAAGCACATTACCTTCGAATCATCCTAGTCTTGAATTGTGGAGAAAAAATCTAGAATCTGCGAAAAATAAAATATAAGCAACTATGAGTATGATGAAAATAGATAATCTGCAATATTTTTCTGTGACTAGTTACAGGACATCAAACACGGTCACCTATGTGCGGAATTATTTCTTCCTTAGAAACTAAAATGTATACGTTTGTTTTCCTTCTCGTTCCTATTCTATCTCAATGTCAAATCATATGGGCATTGACCTTGATCTATTGTTGGGTGTGAGTTGACATGACAACAGAAACCAAAATGTACTCATTCAAATACCCGCACCCAATCAAACATGTAATTCGATTGTGTCTATCTTTTGAATTGGTTATTTCACGTGATATTGGACTATCTTCCGCAACATGTGTTCCTTCAGATGAAAATTCATGTTGAATATTAAATGTTCGAGCATATTCATCTGAATGAGTTCCATATTTATCTTTGTAAATTCGATTGCATAATTTACATAGTCCATTGTTTCGATTTTTTTCGGTCAAAGAAAATTCAAAATATCTTCTCCAACCGCTACCAGCCATTTTATATTTAATAAAAACAACAATGAAAATGAGACATCATATAGAAGATAATATTAACTGAAAAAGTAGTAACTAGCTTGACAGTATAATAACGATACGAACATAGCTAGTTTCTATTTGCTATGCATTAGTGTGTACATAGGGGATCTTAGGATTTTGAGCGCGTTAACATATTCATTTTTAGTCGTAATAATCATGCAAGAAAACTAACAGTCTCATATAGTTATATTTCTTAGTTTAATTATTCTAATCGATAACCATATTTTTTATGTATATGGTAGTAAAGTGGCAAATAAATTGGGTATCATCAATCTAAATATTAGGCAATACAGTAGATATATCATTGTTAGAATAATTCTTCAGTAAATTTATATTTACTACACGTTAGTACAATGTACCTAGCAAGATCTACTTAAGTAAAAATGTACTTAGTGTTGGTACTCAGTATACCTCTACTTGAGTAAATCGTACCAGAGCTAGGACGAGTACAAGTACAGCAAGTAAAAGTATTTTACTTGTACCTGAAAATATTTACTTTTACTTTTACTTGTACTAAAAAAATGTACCTGTACTTTTACTTGTCGTTTCACAAGTATACTTGCGCCTGTACTTGTACTTAGAAAAAAAAATACTTGGTACTTCTACTTGTGTTTCAGGTAAAGTATTTGCTGCTGATACTTATACTGTGGTAAAAGTACTTGATAGTTATACTGAGTGAGTCTTAATCAATGGAACACATGAGTACGAAGTACTTTCCCTAAGTACAAGTAGTTGCGCTTGTAGTGTTCGTACTTTTCAAGTAAAAGTACAAGTAAAAATACTTTCGTCCGATCTCTGAATCGTACTCAAGTAAAAGTACTAATTACCATTTTTAAGTACCAAGTATTTCTACTTATACTTGCGGCATTCGTACTTGTCCAGTCAATGATACGAGCGCCCACATCCACATCAACGTACATGGAACCAATTTCTAGAATTCCGTCCGATTCCGGAATTGATAATCACCGTATACTTATTATTAGTTGGGTGTTCATGTAGGAGCATAGAAAACGTGCCTTCTCAATTCAACACTCCACACCCACACACTCAAGATAGTTTTACATTCAAAAACAGATTTTTTCCGGTAAGAATGTGCTCAGAATAGTACGCACTTCTTGGAGATCGACCAAGGGTGTATACATCGAGCGTTTAGACATATGATCATACTTCCACAGCAATCGCAAGAGCGGAAACCAGGTGAGCTCTTCAGGCGTGAGAAACTGATGCAATTCACCCTTTAATAGCGGAGAAAGACTATGATAACGAATAGCCCATGCCATATCAGGTGGCAGGTATCTGCGTAATTTTTGAAATCCAAATTCATCGTGATTCCATGTAGTTATTGCGCTATCAAGTCCTCTACCTAATTCACCTTGCTTGAGAACGATTGTGCTGCACATGACGTTAGCATCATCTTCGCCGAAGAGGACAAGTAGTTTCCCAAAGTCATGAATGAGTGCAAGAGATAATGCCTTAGGAGAGGTGATATTGTCCACCTTCATAGCTGTATAAACTTGAAGAACATGAGACCACTGATTCGTCTGCAACAACGAATTATCGGTGGGATCTATCACCTTTTTCAACAGCAGCAGAAATTCCCATGTAGACCCATTGCCAATTAAAACCTTGTCCTTCCACTTTGCATTGAGCCGTTCAACCGTCTGCAAATCTTGGTGACGATTGCGATTATAGATTTGTGCAGCATTCTTTTTCCAGTCACGCGGTACTTCTTTCACAATGATTTTTTTGTGTTGGGCGCGGCTTGCTGATCCGAGCTTTATGCGAGTCGTTGCCTTCCCATTGAAATAAAACAGTCTTTGCTGCCGCTGCCCCAGTAAATCATCCAGACGTCCGCATTGACCACTCACATTAGTTTTGTTTGAATACTCCACCCATGGCTTCACAGTAGCTAAACGAGAGTCAACACCCGCGTGCTCTTCTCGAGGCATTGAGCGTGAATTCAAATGTACAATCTGGGTATCTTTTATAACCAAACAAGCAGGCGGTATTCTACCGACAGTAGTGTTCGATGTGAGAGTCAGCAATTGTTGAGTGGCAGCGAAATCGCACCACCAATTATCGATACCCCAACTAGAGTTATACAATATTTTATCATCAATATAAACGAGTCCCTGTCTGTGAATTTCCTTCCACATGTCGGAGCGGATAAAAGGTGTCATAATTTCCAGAATACAAACCGCTTGAGCAACTGTACGATCGGCAGTATGTACCGGACGCAACTCAGGGTGAATTGTATCGTGCACAGTCGGTTGAAAGATGGCCGCTTTTGTCTCCATTCCAATGCTGAGGAAACGATACAGTGGAAAGTGATCCACGCCAAACAACATATCACTATCCAATAGCCAAAGAACGTCGTAAGCAGCCAAAATGGGAGGAGTTAGCATTTTTTTTCCAAAATAATATTTTGGCTCCAGGTATCACGGATATAAATAGCACAAGATCACTAACCTTTTCTTCGTGGATATACACTTCAAGACGTTCCCGTGACGCGTTTCCACCATAACAATTCAATGCAAACTTCACCCCAGTTCCAAGATAGGTCCGCATCGAGTGTACGTAGGCAGCCATATCTGATCCTCCAATAGAAGTGGCAATCAAGAGTTTGTAGGTTTTGTACTTATCTTCTGTTGGCGCTGAGAAATACAATAACCTGTTGTTTTGCTCCAGCATACTTAACATTATTTGTTCATGTCCAGCGTGTAAAAAGTATAGACTGAATACTACAAATATCACAATTGCGCACAATTGCATGTGTTTCATTGTCCAAATTGTGTGGTACATACTGGCCTCCAATATTTGGATACGAAACAGACTATAGTAAATAAAAAAAGAGAAATTTTTGTTTCCTATCTCGGATTCAGAGGATAAAGTTCATAGCTAGAGCCCCGAACGATTTTATTTTGCGGCACCAACTAACCGAATTGTGTGCAAATCTCGTCGTGGTGAAATACGAGCTACTCAGTGCACTCTGCGAAGTGCCCTGCAAAAAACAAGAACTCGATGATGAGAACTGTAGAATTGTGAATGCATCGCATTTAGTAAAATTCTTCGTTTCGAAAAACTCACGATACTTGAGAGTCAAAAGATGGAATATCGCTCACTTGCTTCATCATGGGATCGACACTATTGACCTCTTTTGACAAAGATGCTTGCTAGACTTTTAGACATCAGTAACCAGGTGGATTTTCAGGATTCATTTAAAATAACGGGTGGTGCATAAAGAACCGGACTTTTTTGTTTTGCCTATAACTCAGCCGGTTTTCACCCTATCGATCCATTTTTTCCAAAACGATTCGCCATTAAATTCTTTACAAAACCATGTACTCGTATTATTCGAACAAAAATATAATCCGAAAAGTTAAAAACCGTTTAAAGCGGAAGAAACGCGTCTCAACTCGAAAACTGGCCAGTAAACTTAAAATTTCAAGAAGAAGTATGCAGAGAATTTAGAAAAATGATTTAGAATTAACGTCGTACAAGAAAAGAATCGAATCACTACTCACAGACACTCAAAAAGCGAAAAGAATCTCTTTTTCAAATTGGGTACGTCACAATTTTTCGAAAGAGCAATCTTTGAGAATTCTTTTTTCTGACGAAAAAATATTTGATCTCAATGGTATTTACAACTGTCAAAACGATGAAGTCTGGGCTGTGAATCGTGGCGAAGCTGATAAGAATGACGGCGTTAAACAAAAACAGAAATTTCCACAAAAAGTCATGGTTTGGTTAGGCGCTTTTTCAGAAGGTGTAACTTCTTTGGTTATTTTGGATAATGGCACAGTAAATTATCAACGATATATAGATGAAGTACTTCCTGTGGCTCTAAAGTATGGAAATAACGTGTTTGGAGATGATTGGACGTTCCGCAAGACGGTGCCAAGCCTCACACTGACAAACTTTCTCAAAAATGGTGCAATGATCATTTTCCTGGACTTATTGGCAAAGATCATTGGCCGCCGAATTCTCCTGATTTGAACTCTTTAGACTACTTTATCTCGGACGAATTTGTTCACCAAGTCAACTGGAATAAAGCTCAGTCAAAAAAAACATTGATTGCAGAGTTGAAGCGAGCTGTGAAACGAATTAGAAAAGAAGTTGTACTGGAAAGTTGTGAGAGTTGGACCAACAGATTGTATCGTTTAAAAAAAATAACGGAGATTATTTACATCAATAAAAGAACAGTTTTTTTTATAGAGAACTGAATGGAGAACCTTTTGGAAAAAAATTCGGTCGATAGTGCGAAAATCGGTGGAATTATAAGCAAAATAAAAAAGTCCGGTTCTTTGTACGCCACCCGTTATAGATAAAATGCATACCAAATTAAAAGTCGGTAGAAGTGATTTATTAAGAGAATACAAATATTTCATCCGTTACTACCGACCACCAAACAGAAAGAAAAAAATATTGCACGTGTAATATTGTATGACGTATAATTTAAGAAAACGATAGATACGTGTGTGTTGCTATTGTCTAATATTTATGAAGCGTCTCGCTTCGGTGAATGGGAAATTAAAGAAGAAAAATATATAAATAAATATGTTCATTATAATCTGGTCCTTTCGAATCATTTTTTTTCTTTGGGATACATTTAATACAATATCTAAAACTATAGCAATCCATATCTAAATTATATCAATCTTGCGTAACTTAATACAGTTATATCTATTCTGGTGAAAGGATACCTTTAAAAAATTGTTTGATCTTATTTTGCGGTGTGCTGGGAAAATGTCGAAAAAATTATATTGACATTAAACATTGTCAGTTAATGTTTTAGAGAATTGTAAATAGTATAATGTATGTTTTTTGTATGAAATTAAGCTGAAATGTTAAGGGTGAGAACATTTTTTTAAAATGTGTCATTTTTTCACGAGCTTCACGAACCTCAAGTTTTTTTTCTCCTGGAAGGTGACTATGATTGCAAACAGTTTTCATCAATGGATTATTTTAATCAGTATGCACTTTAGCGGCACAATAATTAATAGTGCATGTCCAATCTTTATTAGTTGTTGTTACTTTATTTTACTTGTATAAATAGTTAGTCTTCCGTATCAATATTGACTAAAATTGTACACTAGTAAAATTATAAGAAAAAGCAATGAAGCATATGTGGTTACAATCGCCATATACTTGAGACATCATTGTTTTTTTTTATTATGCTATGACTGCGATCCGAAGATACTAACAGTACAAGAGATGAGAAAAGAGAAAGGAGAAAAACAAAATAAAACAGAAACACAAAACGAGAAAACAAAAACATTACAAGATCACATATGAATGACTATAGAGCACATGGAAGAGCAAAAAATGAAAGAAAAAGAAAAATACGAATACGTAATAGACCATATCCAACAAATAAAACAAAAAGCAAACAAGAAACGGACAAAGAAGCTTAGAAAATAGCTTTAACAGAAAAAATCAGGAAAGAGAAGAAGTAAATCTATTTCGGACTTATCATAATCAGGTATGGGCGAGTTAGAGGGAACTGACGAGAGCCAAGTTAAAACTTTTTCCAAGATTGATGTATGGGGGACAAACCTTTTAGACCTTCTTAATCCCTTGATAGAAAATTCATTATCTAACCAGCTTTTCCTAAATTCTGCAAGATTAGCTTTTTCAAAAATTAGATTTCCATCAGTTGAATTAGATAAAGCTCTAAGGTAACGATTCCAATATGTGCAGCAGCGATCGTCTAAAGATATTTCGTCAAGAACGTATGAAATAAACGTCTCATTCCACTCTAAGCAGCATAGAGCACGACGAAGCGAGGAGTAATAAAACTTAGAGAAGTCCTCCTGTTGATTCCTAGTAAAAAGCGGATATACAGGATATACCCAAGTGAAAAGTGGAAGTATATGTGAATAAAATAGAGTTTTACGAAGGCTAGGGAAAGAACATCCGAACAATTTAAATGATTTAATAAGTGATATTCTCTTCCTAATTTTACATTGAACATTTTTTAATAACTTCACCCAACCTAGTCTAGATGAAATGATATAGCCAAGATATTTGTATTCCGGCCTCCAACAAATACGATTGCCATCACCACTATCAAACATAATATTAAATTTCGGGGACCCTATAGCACGCGCACTAAACATTGCTTCAGTTTTAGTCCTATTTAAGTGTTGATCAGCTAAGCATGAATAATATTCGAGTGAGTCAAGAAAAGATTCGACACGTCTTTCAAGATCGATACATTGGCTTGTGTAACGTACTTCTAATTGTCCAGAAAATATAGCAGCAACATCGTCAGCGAAAAAATGACTAGTACATTCAGAAAGAAATTGACCCATATCATTATGATAGCTAATAAATACAGTAGGAGTTAATACACTACCTTGTGGGTCGTCTTTCTCAATTGAAAACCATCGGGATATATTACCATTTATATCAATAAAACATCTTCTATCCATCTTAAATACAGTGGAGGAATTCCTAATCTTTTTAATTTGCCCACACAACCTTCGTGCCATAACTGGTCGAAGGCAGAACGAAAATCGATAAAAATGGTACACACAGGGGTACTGTTAGACATAAGACTATATATAT